AGGACAAGAAACCGTTCTCACTGCAGTGTGGGCCTGATCACCCCTGCACCCCCATGTTCCTGCATCACCAGCACGTGGCGTGGGGGTTAAGACACTGGATCTCCATGTGGCTGACCATGTTCAAATCCTGGACCTGGTGGCTTGAAAATCACATAGGGTACATATGCATGCATGCCCAAAATCCCAGAAGGAGAATGGAGGAGAAGAGATTATGAAGCGGCTATCCCCCCAAGGAGGTTATTTCTCACTTTCCCTATCATAGTCTCTATCTCTCTCTCTCTGGTGCTAGTATGCACCCTATGGCAAAAATCTAAAAAAAAGAAAGAAATCCATGAATTCCTAATGATACTAAAAGAAAAAATTTAAAAGCCAGTATGCTACGATATAGAAAAGTCATCCTTTTCTCCAATTTATCTATTTACCCATCTACTTACTTACCTATCCATCTACATTAGTATGGGCTTTTGACTTTAGTAGTTTTTTTTTTTTGGTTTTGTTTTTGTCTTAGGGTATGTGCACTCACCACAGAGAATGGGAAAGTGAGAAATCATCCACCGGGGAACTGACCACACCCCAATCCCTTCTCTCCTCCCTTTCTCCTCTTTGATTTTGGGAACATATGCACACATGTCCAACATGATTGTCAAGTCCCCAGGTTTGGGACCAGAACTGCAGTCAGCCCTGTGAGCACCTACCACCTTAACCACCATGCCACCTGCTAGCCCCAAATTTTGTTTTCTTCGATGGCTCAATACTATCCTTATTGATGTTCAAATAGTCCTAGATTTGGCCAGTAGGTGCCTCTTCACACTAGCTTCCATTTTTTCCATCTTGCTCCACCATTTTTTGAACACTGTTGCTTTCTGATAACATTAAGATGTTCCAGGATAATCTTACATCTTTACTGCCTAGTCCTGGAGGTCAGCCTTTCTCCAAAGATTCCTGGTTCCTTTTAGTGGAGAACGGTATGAGAAGAAAATATATTAGTGCCAGGTGTACTCATTGCTATCAGGGTAAATTTTACTCTATACCTGTGCTAATTTGGTATCTATTATCCACATGTGGCTATTTAAATTAAAATTAATAAGACAGAGGTCAGCATGTGGCATGGTAGTTAAGGGCAATGAACTGCCACATGGCCAACACGGTTCAAGTCCTGGACCTGGCAGCTTGTTTTCTTACTTTCTCTCTCTCGCTTTTACTCTGTCCCTCTCTAGTAAAATTAAAATAAATAAATAAATAAAGTTAAATAAAATAATTATTATTATTTTCTTGTGGGGGAGAGTTTTTTTGCTATAGGGTATGTGCACTCGCCAAAAAGACAGCGAGAGACAAAGAGACAGAAAGTGAGGAATCACTCCCCCAAGGGGGATGGCCATGTTGCAATTCCTTCTCCTCCATTCTCCTCTTGGGATATTGGGTGCACACCCACATGCACCCAGTATGAGTTTAAGCCACCAGATCCGCGACTCAAACCACGGTCGACTACATGAAAATTCAGCAGCGTAGCCATTACGCCATCTGCTGATCCCAAAATAGTTCTTTAAATTAAAACTTCAGTTCTCTAATTGAATGAGCCACACTTTATATATATATATATATATGTATATATATACACATACATATATATACACATATATATGTGTGTATGTGTGTGTGTATATATATGTATATATATAACATTTGAATCATTACAAGACATTTCACTCGATGTCATTCATTGTTCTATACCCTTGCAATGGGCAAATCTAGGAAATACACACACATACACACACACATTAATAGATTCCTACTCTCCAGTGCCTTTTAAATATTTTCCCATGTTCCGCTATGTTGATTCTTTAAAACATTAAACAATTATTTATTTTATTCAGCACATATTGTTAGACAGGTACTGGTAAAGGCTCTATAGAAATTCAAATAAAAATACAGTCTCTATTTCCTAAAAACTTACAATTTCATGGGAAAGCAGAAAGAAAAGTGGATTATTATATAATGGCATGGCAAATTTCAGTACACTGAGGTAAAAACATGGTGCTATAATAAAACGTATTTTATAGTAGGGATATTAGGAAAGGCTTCCTAAGGAAAAAAGGCATTTAAGTTGAGAAAGGTAAATTATTATTGGCCTAGGAAATGTAGTGATTAAGTCAGGAGTAAGGGCATTTTCTATTTGCTATTTTCCATTACTTTTATCATCTCTGTTGAAATCACTCACTTAAAAGGATTCCTTTCTCTCCATCATAGCCTTTCAAGACTATCATTCAAAGCCCTTTTTTGTTTCTGGAGAGGATTTCCTATAGGGCATGTGCACTCGAGAAATCACCCCTCAGGGTGGGGGATGGCCATGCTACAATCCCTTTTCCTCCATTCTCCTCTTGGATCTTGGGCATGCACACACATGCACCTGGAGTGAGTTTAAGCTACCGGGTCCAAGACTCAAACTATGGTGGACTACATGGGAGTCCAGTGACATAGCCATTACACCAACTGCTGGTCCCTCAAAGCCCATTTTAAAAATGTATTATTATTATTATTTTTTAAGATATGTTTTGCTACAGGGCATGTATACTTGCCTGAGAGACAGACAGAAAGTGAGAAATCACCCCCTTTCCGGGGGTGGGGACATCCACACTGCAACTCTTCTCCTCCAGTTTCCTCTCAGGGTTTTGGGCATGCACGCACACATACCTGGCATGAGTTTTACCTACCGGGTTCAGGACTCAAACCATGGCCAACTATGTGGGAGTCCAGAGACATAACCATTATGCCATTTGCTAGTCCCTAAAATCTATTTTTTAATATCTCTAATCAGAGAAACTCCCCAATATACTGTTTTCTGACTTCAGGCACATGAAAGATGTGGTTTTTTCATGTTGTTTTCAATGTAATAAGTAAGGACATAGGCTCTGGAATCAGACTTATTGCCTACTAACTGTGTGAACTTTGATAATTTATTTAATCTTCCTAAACTTCAATTTCTGAATCAGAAGGTGGGTTTAATAATACCTCATAGTTATATGTTTGATTAAAATAATGTACTGCAAATGGTAAATTATGTAATCTACTAGTAACAACAGCCTTACAACTTGTTTCTTCCTTTGTTTTCTGGATGTTTTAAAATTGCTTATACCTGCAGTGGTGGTTAAGGTGACTGGATCCTACATAGCTGACTGCATAGTTCAAAGTACGTATCTACTAGCTTGAAAACATGCTGGGTGGGGCTGGCAGGCGGTGTGGTGATTAAGGGCACTGGACTCCTACATGACCAATGCGGTTTGAGTCCCAGACCTGGCAATTTGTTCTCTCACTTTGCCTCTCTCTCTCTCTCTCTCTCTCTCTCTCACTCTCACTTTGCCCCTCTCTGGTCAAATTAAAAGAAAGAAGGAAGGAAGGAAGGAAGCGAGGGAGGGAGGGAGGGAAAGGAAAGGAAAGGAAAGGAAAGGAAAAGAAAGGAAAGGAAAGGAAGGAAGGAAATAAAGTTAAATAAAGTAGTTATTTAAAAAAAGAAAAAGAAAAAGAAAAAGATGCTGGGTGTGTGTGCATACATATCCAAAATTCCACGAGGAAAAAAAGAGAAGGGATTGATCGTCCCCTGGGAGGCTGCTTTCTCACTTTCCTTTTTCTTTCTTTCTCTGACATGCACACAATTTTTAAAAAATTGCTTACATTTTTCATTCAAGGTCAATCTTTACATTACAAGGTCTACATTATATTATTATTAATTTTAGAAATATTATTTATTTATTTTAAATTTTTTTTTAGAGAGAGATTTTTTTTTTTTGGAGAGGTTTTATGCTATAGGGCGCGTGCACTCGCCAGACAGACAGAGAGAGACAGAGAGACAGAAATCGAGAAATCACCCCCCCCGGGGGGGATGGCCACGCCATAATCCCCTCTCCTCCATTCTCCTCTTGGGATCTTGGGCGGGCATGCATGCACACGCGCCCAGCATCAGTTTTAAGCCACCAGGTCCGGGACGCGAACCGTGGTCGACTACATGGGAGTCCAGCGACATAGCCATTACGCTAACTGCTGGTCCCTTAGAGAGAGATTTTTGCTCTGGGGCATGTGTGCTCACTGGAAAGACAGAGAGAGAGAGGGAGACAGAAAGCAAGAAATCACCCCCTGGGGGGATGGCCTCACTGCAATCCCTTCTCCTCCATTCTCTTCTTGGGATTTTGGGCATGCATGCCAATTGCCTGAGTTTAAGCCGCCAGGTCCGGGACTCAAACTCCACCCAACTACGTGAAAGTCCAGCAACATGACCATTACGCTACTGCTGGTCCCATACTTTGATATATTCTTAAGAAAACTAAGAGCATAAGGGAAAAAAAAGCATTTCATAAAGCAAGAAGTAGAGATTATTTTGTTCATTACAATTTGTTTATAGGTACAGTGAAAATATACCCATCATTTTATTTACAAATGAAAAATACACTTCTCAAAATTAATACTTTTAATAAATAAAGTATATTTTACTTGAATAAAGTGAATTATTTATATCTAAAGTCACATTAGTTATATTCTAGAAGAAAGAAAAGAAGCATTCACCAGCACTAGCAAATACCAGATCCACAAATGAGAACAATGTCACTTCCTCAAAAAATACCTGATAGCTCTGATTATTTTCTTTACCAGAACAAATATTCACAGGATATATAAGAATTATACCTGTGTTTTCCTTTTTAACCTTATTAGTACATTCAAAAAATCATCTCGACATTTAATTTTCTTTCAAATTTATCTAAAAATAATAATGGATTCTCTTTTTAAAAAATGGGGATGCGAACAGTGTAAGAATACACTATTATTCTTAAATCACTAAATACTACTTATTTTTATTAATATCTAGTAGCAATAGATAAACCATTCATAAAAGGTAGTTTTCAGTTTTCTACATGTAATTATCCTAAATAACTAGGTACAATCTACCACCTCTCATGTGAACTATACTGATGGTGAAGTATTTGTTCATGTTTTCCCAAAGACAACCTTACCTGTGGAGTCCAATAAAAAGTAGGGCTCAATCTGTAGAGTTTTCTTCTGTGGAAACTCTGAAGTGGCCTTGTTCGGGCTGCTGTACTCATGACAGACAAGGATGGAGATTTCAATCTTGTCCTGTCTTTTCTCCTTTTCTTACTGTGCTTCTGGTTAAGTAACCAGTTACTGGAGGAAGAAAGCTCATCTAAATTCTCTGAAGCACTGAAATGCCATGAAATAATTAGGGGGTAAGAAGAAGAATAAAACAAAACGAACAAACAAACAAACAGAAAGACAAAGAAAACTAAATGTAAATTGCCTTGCTCTATTATGACAGAAGAGTATTAATTTTAATGAATTTTGTGGCAACAATTGATGAAAAAATTAACATTAATGGGGAATTACATATTCAAGTTGTGAAAATAATTTCTACATCTATTTTTTTCCTGGAAAGCAATCCTAAAGTTAGAAAATTATTAGATTATAGGGAACCAGCAGTTAATGCAATGGCTATGTCACTGGACTCCCACATAGTCAACCGCGGTTCGCGTCCCAGACCCAGTGGCTTAAAACTCATGCCGGGCACGTGTGCGTGCGTGCCCAAGATCCCGCGAGGAGAAGGGAGGAGAAGGGATTGCGGCGTGACCATCCCCCCTGGGGGGTGATTTCTTGCTTTCTGTCTCTATGTCTCTCTGTCTGTCTGGTGAGCGCACGCGCCCTATAGCGAAAACCTCTCTCAAAAAAAAAAAAAGAAAATTATTAGATTATATGTATAATATCAATGTTCATTGTAAATAATTAATTTACATATGTTATATAGTGTTTTAACTACTTCAAATCCTTTTGCATATAGGTGAAATTACATGGATTATAGGCTTAAAAAGAACTAACATCTCATCACTACATCATTAGCTGCTCTTGAATAAATACATTACCATTTCAGTGACTTCCTTTTTTTTTTTTTTTTGAAGAGGTTTTTGCTATAGGGTGCGTGCGCTTGCCAGAAGGACAGAGAGAGACAGAAAGCAAGAAATCACCCCCCAGGGGGGATGGCCACGCCGCAATCTCTTCTACTCCATTCTCCTCTCGAGATCTTGGGCATGCACACACATGCACCCGGCGTGAGTTTTAAGCCACCAGGTCCAGGATGCGAACCGCGGTCGACTACATGGGAGTCCAGTGACAGAGCCATTATACTAACTGCTGGTCCCTCATTTCAGTGACTTCTGAAATAGATCTGCTACCCTACTATATTTTGGGAATTTTATAAAAACTTCTGATGGTACAGAAGCTATAGGTATAAAATAATGAAATGAGTCATACAAGCTACCCATGAAAATGAGTGTAATAATTTTATAATTACTCTTCATATTAATTTTTAAATATATTTAAATATTTCCAATATTTTACATCATAACATCAAGAGGAAGTTAATCCTCATAAATTTAATTTCATTCATACTAGTATATTATATACAATATAATTAAACTTTCAGGCACTACCAAGTACCAATTTCAACCTTATTTATATAGACAAAAGCTAGCCAGTTCTATATTCTAATATTAACAAGTGAATCCACTATATGTGATACTGCTAGTCAACATGAAAGTTCTAAATATACTCTTTGATTCAAGTAAAATTGGTGTTCACTGGTAAACATAAAATATGATATTTTCATAACAGTATTATTGATTTTGAATCATATTTAGGCTGCCATAATATATTCTACTATTGAATTATCAGAAAAGTCAACATATTTTTGCATTGAAAAATAGAAAAATATGTCATGACTTTTTGACATAGCTTGTGGATAAAGCAAGTAATTTAAGAATACTTTGCATAGTATAAGAAACTAGAAATAATGATGTCTAAACTGTTTATGTTGGTGAAACCAAAAAAGAATACTTAAATATGAAATTTAGTGACTATGATACATTTAACAAAGACATAATTGAGTGTATACTATTAGCCAGAAGGGGGAAGAGCTGGTGAGAACTATTTCACATTTAAAATATTAAGTCTCCAGAGAGCTTTAGAATGCTTTAAGTTTCAGTTAATAAAACACAGTGAAGCTCTTCTGTCACACAGCTGGCTAAGAAAGGTTTATAGTATAAAGCTGTTTTTAAATTAATGGGCCTAACCTCATACCCTGGTGTTATTTTCTGTGACAGCAATTCATAGTGCGAACTGTCTTCGAAAAACTTTAAGTGTATTAGTACTAAGTAACAGTTTGCTCTTGAGAAGCTAGCTATGGAGCAGGGCTACATGTCAAGGGAGAGTAGCAGGCACACACGGAGCCAATATGAAGTCAGGCACTGGGCAAGACAGGTGACGGACGGGCACAGAAGTGAGTCAAGGTCAACAAGAAGACCAGTTTCAGTTAGGTAACAAGTAACTGGTTTTAGAAGTGGTCAAGTCAGAAGAGTTGTAATACAGGAAGGAAGGAGCAGATAAAGCACAAAGCCAGGTCTTAGTCTATTAAGTCAGAGAGACAGTTAGGCAGAAACTTATACTGTCGCCTTAAAAGACATTATTCTGGTAGTGTTAAGAGAAATTAAAAGCTTTTACTCTGGGAGCCTGAAGCATACCTAAGTCTTTGCTCTACAGGCTTCAAATTCTGTTTTGTTTTGTTTTGTTGTTTTAAGATTTCGCCATAGGGTGCACATGCTTGCCATAGGGTGCACATGCTTGCCAGAGAAAGAGACAGAGAGAGGGATGGCCACCCAGCAATCCCCTCTCTTCCATCTCCGCTCAGGATTTTGGGCACACATGCACATGCACCTGGCATGAGTTTCAAGACATCAGGTCCAGGACCTACTGTTCCCCAGGCTTTAATTGTTAATAACTCAGATTTCCTCTTCTGCCCATGAGACAGCCCCACAGAAGGTGAGTCATCTGTGGTTCCCTACTAAATGAAAGGACGCAACTTCTGAACACGTTAGAGGCTCATAGGTTGGTATGAAGATAAATGAAAAGTTTGTTATTTGTGTCAATAAAAGTTTATATATATATGTTTAAACTGCTAAGGTGGTTGATATTTTATCAGATGAAACAATTTTAGTTTTAGAGTATTTTTTAAGTATGTTGCCACCTACAGGCAATTCATTCTTAGATTCTAACACTTTCTAATATAAATTCTTGCAAAGTGTCATCAAAATTTATCCTACTCAAATAAATGGAGGAATTTATCAAAATTGAAAGATGTGAAATATATTTATTTTACTACTAATCAATGTACAAATCTCATTACTCCCCCAAAACTTATTTGACACATAAACCACTTTCATGAATAATGGATGGGAGTTATTATAATTACTACAAGTCCCTGAATTCACCGACTTTGTATAGTGTTTTACACTAAACAGGGATCAATGAACCTCACTGAAAAGCAAAACAAAAGGAAAATCCTGAAGAAAATAACACTAGCCTGCTCATGTGATTCTAACTTATAGCTCAGAAGACAATAGCAGAAGATCCATGTAATTAGCATAAACTAAAATAGAAGCTTAAAGAGATCATTAAAAGGGGCGTGGTTGTTAAGGGCACTGGACTCCCACATGATCGACCTCAATTTGAATCCTGGACCCAGTGGCCTGCTTTCTCACTTTCCCTCTCTCTCTCACTCTGTCCCTCTCTGGTCAAATTAAAAATAAATAAATAAATAAATAAATAAAGTTAAATTTAGAGAAAAAGAGAGATCATTAAAAAATATAAAATACCATCTACAAATAACACTCTTTTTAAAAAAAATGTCATAATTAATAAGAGAACGATGGGGCCAGCAGGTGGCATGGTGGTAAAGGCAGTGGACTTCCAAATGGCCAACCACAGTTTAAATACTGGACCTGGTAGCTTGCTTTCTCTCTTTCTCTCTTTCATCTTTCTCTGGTGAGTGCATGTGCCCTACAGTAAATTTAAAATAATAATAATAGTAAATAAAATAAAACGAACAAATAATTTTTTTTAAAAAAAAGAGGAAGAAAAGATGCAGGAGGGAAAGAACATTTCCAGAATGGATAAGGCTTAGCATAAGGTATACCAACTGAGCATAAGGTATACCAACAAAATTTCAGGAACTAAGGATGCAATAGGCCACTGTCAAATATTGCATATAATAATTATCAATACAATTATCAATATATAATTATCAGGCTGGCCCCTTGGCATAGTGTTAATACACTATTCAAGAGAAGCCAGATCCCACATAGCAGCTATGGTCCCAATACCCTGCTCAGTCAGTCAGAAACAAGCCATGAGAGACTGCAAATGGCATAATGGTTATAAGGCTGGACTCCCACATAGTCAACCACAGTTAGAGTCCCAGTCCCAGTGGCTTAAAACTCACAGCAGGTGAGTGTGCATGAGTGCCCAAAATCCCAAGAGGAGAATGGAGAAGGGATAATGGTATGTCCATCCCCCCCAGGAGGTGATTTCTCACTTTCTGTCTCTCCAGGGAACACACACGCCCTATAGGAAAATTTCTCTCTTAAAAAAGAAAGAAAGAAAGAAAGAAAGAAAGAAAGAAAGAAAGAAAGAAAGAAAGAAAGAAAAGAAAAGAAAAGAAAAGAAAAGAAAAGAAAAGAAAAGAATAGAAAAGAAAAGAAAAGAAAAGAAAAGAAAAGAAAAGAGACAAGACAAGACGCCATGTATTTGTGTGAGTGCCCAAGATCCAATAGGCTAGAAGACTGAAGAACATGGATTGCAACATGGCCAGACCCTGTGTGTGGGAGGGGTTGCTCATATCTCTCTTTCTCATTATCATTCTCATGTGTGTGCACACATACTCTATTATTAATAAAGAAAAAAACATTTTAAATGTTTATAATTATCAAGTAGGATAGTATCAAGTGAGGCAATAACTTATATTTTTTAGGATTTCTGATGGAAAATAAAAATTCCCCAAATGGTAGCCTAGATCTTCTGTGCCATATGCACATAACATAACTTGGTTAAAAGATGAATTAAGTAATTGAAGGAGGAGGGATAAGAAGGGTGAAATTTCAGGCTTACATTTTTCTCAATTTCCATTGCCATCTCTATAATCCAAGCTATTCTGTACCAGGATTACCCTAACAGCCTTATAATTGGACTTCCCTCATCTACTCTTTCC